AGTCTTTCCATTTGTGGATCACAAGGCCAGGCTGGGCCACAGCTCCCAAAGGATCAAGCCATGACAGAGAGAGGACCTGTCCTTAACCTTGCAGGGGACTCCTTGTGACCCCCACCTTGTCTTTGTCCTGGAGAGGTGGGTGGAAGTTTTTCATAACAGGTTTAGACTGTAGCAACTTTCCCGAAAATGTCTGAAGTCCAGTTCTCACCCAACGGCCTGTGTACAGTTTGTGCCAATTTCCAGGACAGGTTTACAGCACCTTCACTAAGTATTGCCATTTGAGGACAAATACTCTTTCAGAATCCTCTATGGGTATTTAAGAAGAAAGAGGATTTTTAAAGCAGAAGTAATATTTTTCTTAAAGAAATTTGGTAAGAGAAGAAAAATGAAAAGTAAAGAAAAAGCAAACATATAGAAAAGTACTTAGAAAATATAGAAAATACTTTTAATGTTTTGGTAAATTTCATTTCAATTTCAGTGATTTGCTTTTATCTTTTTAATGTCCTTTCTATTTTGAGTTTATTTGCTATTCTTTTAGTAGATTTCTGTGGTAAAAATTAACTGTATAATGCTTAAGCTTTCCTAAGTGGTTTCTAACAAATGTATCTATTTTTTTCATTTCTTTTGCCATAAATAATGGCATTTAAAAATGTGACATGGGGGCTGGAGAGATGGCTCACTGGCTGCTCTTCCGAAAGACAGAGATTTGACTCCCAGCACCCACATGGTGGCTCACAGCACCTGTAACTCCAGTCTCAGGGGATCTGATGCTCTCTTCTGACCTCTGAGGGTGTCGGGCATGCGTGTGGTACTCATACATACATGCAGGTAAAAGTGTGACATGTTTTTGTTGTTCATTTATGGATATTTGTAATCCACATTTTAGTTTTCTCTTTAACTGAAGGATAATAAGAACGCCATAATAAAAGTTATGTTATTTAATTACCAGTTGTTTTGTTGTCCAGTATGGGAGCCACTGGATACCTGTGGGCAATGAGTACTTTAAATGGGTCTGCTCCAAACCGAGATAAGCTTCTGGTGCAAAATATGTACCAGTTCAAGGGACTTAATTGAATTGTTTTTTATATCAATTACATTTTTGTTTTGTTTTGTTTTGTTTTCAAGACAGGGTTTCTCTGTGTTGTTTTGGAGCCTGTCTTGGAACTCGCTCTGTAGACCAGGCTGACCTTGAACTCACAGAGATCTGCTGGCCTCTGCCTCCAGAGCACTGAGATTAAAGGTGTGCGCCACTGCTTGGCCTCTATCAATTACATTTTTTTTTTGTTTTTCGAGACAGGGTTTCTCTGTGTAGCTTTGCGCCTTTCCTGGAACTCACTTGGTAGCCCAGGCTGGCCTCGAACTCACAGCGATCCTCCTGGCTCTGCCTCCCAAGTGCTGGGATTAAAGGCGTGCGCCACCACCGCCCGGCTACATTTTTAATGGTAAACTTTTTAATTTATTAGGTTGAATAGAGCATATTATTAAAAGTCATTTTTCCTAATTTTTTTCCCGGCTTGGGTTTTTGTTTGTTTTTTGTTTTGGGCAGTGTTGGGAATTGAACCTAGGGACTCAAGCATGTAAAGCAAACACAGTACCACTGAGTTACGACCCCAGTCCTTTATTCCTTTTGCTTACTTTTAACATGGCTACTAGATTGTTTTGTTTGTTTCTGAAAAAGTAAAGTTTAATTTAAAAATCCGACACACCAAACAACTTTCTGTTCACTTTAAGCCCTCCCACTGGGTTTGTGACAGGCAAATCTGTTTCCCTTTGAGCTCAGACTAGCTCAAGATGCACCTGCAGTAGTCTGAGAACCCATCTGTCCCTCAGAGGTAAACAACGTGTCCACAGCAGCCCGAGTAACTAAGAGGCACCACTGTTTTCCACATGCTTCAAAAGGTCAGTTTATTAATCAGGCCACAAGCTCTCAAACCTACCTCAAATCCATGCAAGCCATTGGCATTACCCCACCCCCCACCCCACCCCACCCCCAGCACACTGAGCAGGACTGTGGAGGCAGAAGAGCTGCTCTAGTGAAAGGACCGATACTCTCATTCTGACACGCCCTCCCAAACATTACAAACTCAAACGTGTCATCCCGGGAAGACCCATCACCCGTGGGGGTGAATTCACCATTGTTCATTGGCATCTTCACACAAGGTACTAGCTTTGGCAGGTTACAACCTATCATTCTAGTCTATGGTGTAAATTTGAATGACCATATCTAAGATGAAGCCCACATGGAAAGATTCATTCTCAACACGAGATCAAGATACATCCTGTTAGGTTAGGGGAATGTGTATGTTGTCTCTTCACAGCAACAGATCAGTGACTTAAGACAGTGGTCAGAACAGCTCATTCAGGCATGCCCTGTGAACCTGCCACGTTTGCACTGATAATCGTGACCTGCTAGGACACGTGAGGAAGACAGCGTGGAGGATGGATTGAGAATGGTCTGTGGATTTCCTGTGAGGTTAGCAATAGGAGACGCCATCAGGAAGACCCCATGGAGACACATCTTCCACAGTTCTGATTGTCTGTCTCCTCAAGATTGGGTTCAGTAAGACAGGAGGCTTACTGGTACTCGGCTACTATGCTTGGGGATGCGTCATGGACTTTTGAGGGTCTTCTTTACTCCCTGACTTTCCTTTCCAGATAGGAGCTGTGCCTTAGCTGGAACCAAATGCAATGGGTTCACATCTTAGCAAGTGCAAAACCAAAATAAGCACAGCCAAGACCTGAATGAATAGAGAAAGATTTATGGCCTGCAGCAGGAGAGATTGGGAGCCACTTACGAAAGAATGATCAACATGACCATTAATTTTAAATGTGTATACACATTAAGTATTTTGGTTAATACATGTAGACCATGGCCAGGGTAATGGAAATTCCAAATGTGTTGTTAAGCAGCTCTTGGTGGGTGGAAGGCTGACGAGTGTTTAAGCAGACACAAGACGCAGCTGGGACAAGATGGTGTTCTCTTAACTTCAATGCCCTCCTCAACAAAGGAAGCCTGGGTTTTATCCAGGGAGCCTGTCTTGGTTAGGGTTCCTATTGCCGTGAAGAGACACCATGAGCACGACGGCTCTTATAAAGGAAAAACATTTCATTGGGGTGGCTCTCTTACAGTTTCAGAGTTTCAGTCTGTTATCATCATGACAGGAGCATGGCGGCATGCCGTAGCACTGAGAGTCCTACATCTTGCAGCAACAGGAAGTCTATTGAAACACACTGGGCTGTATCTTGAGCATAGGAAACCTCAACCCCCACCCCCACCCCACGGTGACACACTTCCTCCAACAAGGCCATACCCACTCCAACAAAGCCACACCTCCTAATAGTGCCACTCCCTAAGGGATTATGGGGCCAATTACATTCAAACCACCACAGAGCCTACTCATGGCAATTGTTACATGCCTAAGTATGCTCAGTTAAGGTGTAATTCCCAAGCATGCTCAATTTAAGATCAAAAGATTAAATTGATGGACAAGAATGCCCCTTGGGCAAGTTCAGCGTGTATTATGAAATTTTAGCTGAGAAAGGGTAGGCCCTTTTGAAGGTGCATTAATACCGTTTTGCCCTTGAAGATACCTGCCTCATTTAGTGACTAACAAAATGGTTGCCATCGCTGGATGAGCAGAAGGGTAAATACATGGGAGCCCATGGCTTGCATATGTCTAGGGTTGTTTGGGTCCCCATGGCAGAACGAAATCTACAGTCCCTGTTCTAACATATCCCCATGTGACCTCCTGCCTTGTGGTTCAGCTCCAGAGATGGTGAACTTCCCCAAGTGGATTTCTGTCTCTAGTGACCTGCTTTCCCAGAAGCCACAGGAGACGGTGGAAAGAGCCGATAGTTTGCATCCTGATTCAGATTGGAATCTGGGTTCCAAGCTTGTTTACCCGGGGCCTTTGTAAAATATGAGTGTGTTTCTGTGACAGGACAGTGTAGACACTCAGCTGCTGATGTTTCCCCTTTCCTGCCTTGAGGATTTGAGACTGGACACTAGGGAATAGCTGTTGTGTCTCACCAGCAGGCCTCCAGGAGCATGATGGGAGGGACGAAGCCATCTGCACCTCTGCCCACAGGATTGGCTTTGCCACTGCTTGGTGTCTGGCTTAGGATGACCTCACATGAACAGCCACTGAAAGCCACAAAACGTGAACCACAAAGTGACTACATTACAGGGAGAGGGGCTGAGGGAGAGAGTCCAGATGGATCTGGGGCCTCACCAGAGACTGCAATCATGTGTTGATGTGCTTGGTTAGGTGGCGATCTTCAAACTAGCTGTGCTCCCTCACAAGCTGTGCTCCCTCACAAGCTGTGCTCCCACACAAGCTGTGCTCCCTCACAAACTGTGCTCCTTCACAAGCTGTGCTCCCTCACAAGTTGTGCTCCTTCACAAGCTGTGCTCCCTCACAAGTTGTGCTCCTTCACAAGCTGTACTCCCTCACAAGCTGTGCTCCCTCACAAACTGGGCTCCCACACAAACTGTGCTCCTTCACAAGCTGTGCTCCCTCACAAGTTGTGCTCCCTCACAAGTTGTGCTCCTTCACAAGCTGTGCTCCCTCACAAGCTATGCTCCTACACAAGCTATGCTCCCACACAAACTGTGCTCCCTCACAAGCTGTGCTCCCACACAAACTGTGCTCCCTCACAAGCTGTGCTCCCACACAAACTGTGCTCCCTCACAAGCTGTGCTCCCTCACAAGCTGTGCTCCCTCACAAGCTGTGCTCCCACACAAACTGTGCTCCTACACAAGCTGTGCTCCCTCACAAGCTGTGCTCCCTCACAAGCTGTGCTCCCACACAAGCTGTGCTCCTTCCCTCACTGGCCCCATTATGGCCATCAGCCACTCCCAGTACTCAGCTTCCCCCCCTCCCCCAGCATCAGCACAGACCTAATGTTTACAGTGTGTGAGTTCTCACCTCCACTCATTAAAGAAGACACTGATACACAAGCTTTCCGAGCATCCTTCCAGAGCTCTCGTTTCACTGACCTGCTTTTCTGAAATGTACTGTACCCTGGACCAGTCTGTGTGGTCAATAACACCGATGAGGTTGTCAAACCAGGTGTTCTGGATATTCTCAGAGGCGGGAAAGATCCCCGAGTCCCTTCTCCACAGCTCTGGGGTCGTATGGAGAAGCAGGCCAACCTCCAGCTCCCCCCTGCAGTCACTCTGGCCTTGGATGTCCAGGACGTAGCGATGCTGGCTGACCTGATGGCCCTGCATGCCCTGAGCTGCTTTCAGACCCTAGGCATGGTGGAATCGGTCCTGCCTGCTGGGGTGAGGAAGGAAAAGAGCCCCCCAGCCCCGGCAAGCTGCCTTGTTCTCTGCTCTCACCCGGGACACTTGAGGAAGGAGCTCAGTAAATGAAATTTCCCAAGGAGAGAGGTAGGAGTGTGTCCCAAGCGCTGGAACATTTCTCTTGGCACTTTTATTTATTAGATGATGATAATGGTGCCAGTGATGATGATGATGGTGGTGGTGGTGGTGGTGGTGATGATGATGATGATGATGTGTGTGAGCGCTATGGGGGAAGTACTGTGGCATTCTTGTGGATGCCAGAGGACAGCTTCATGGAGTTGGCTCTGTCTTTCTACCTTTCTATGCAGGTTCTGGGGATTGAACCTAGGCTTGCATTGTTGGACAGCAAGTGTCTTTACCTGCTGAACCATCTCACCAGCCCCTTCTCGCTTCCTGAGCCATGTCTCCCCATTTCTTAATCCTCAAAGGAGGTGATCCACACAAGGAAAGGGAACATTTCAAGGGACTGTGGCCCTTGGTGGGGAGGGTCTCCCGTCATCTCCGATGTGCCCTATCCTCTGAGAACAGCAGGGCAGGGGCACCTGCCAGGGACAGGGCCACGTGGTGCCACCTCAAGTGCTCACCCTCAGTTCCTGGTAACGGTGCTCCCTGTGTGCTCCTCCTGGCCAGTGGTCAGCCTAGTTCACTTGGGGGAGATTTGGAACTCGGGTTACTATAAATGGATTTCTCTTCTGTGGTGCTGGCTGTCCTCAGGTGGTGACCACTTCTCAGGCTTCTCATGGATGGCTCCATGTCCCCAGGTTTGTGCTCTGGAAATCGAGCTGCTGACTGGCCAGCCCAGTGTCTGTGGAGAACTGGAGCTTTCCAGCAGGAGAGGCAACATCGGGACCCTCTGAGGTAGCTTCCCTAAAGCGTTCACTTCTGCCAGGAGATCCTGCCCCACCCCACCCCTGTTTTCCCTCCATCTCCTTACTCTCAACCCCATCTCTTCTCCTAGAAGCCCATTTTCTAGAAGCTTCTGCCTTGGTTAAGCTCCTTTCCCATTATGACACCGGCGGCGGCGCCTCCTCACAGAAGATTCTCCCTGATGCTCATTGTCACTGCTGTTGTGTGTGCACCTCACTGAGAGGGGAGCTTTGGGACGGGGCTGTGGAGTGGACCTAGGGTGTGTGGGAGGCAAACGCTGACCCCATGTAATAATAAAATCCAAGCTGACAACATTAAACATAAATCCAAGTTGACAATCATTGTGTTTATATTTAAAAACCACATGTGCTGTTTGGTTTTTGTTAACTTGACTCAATCTAGAGTCACTTAGGAGAGAACCTCAGCTGGGGAACTGTTCCCATTAAAATGGCCTGTGGCCATGTCTGTGGGGGCAGTCTCCCGATTCATGTGGGCGAGCTTGGCTCCGTGTGATTGGTGCTATCCTTGGGCCTGTGGTCCTGGAAGGCAATCGGACTAAGCCATGGAGAGTAAGACATTGAGCAGTGTTCCTTCATGACTCTGCTTCAGTTTTTGCTTCCAGATCCCCACTTGAGTCCCTGCCCTGACTTCTTCCAATGATGGACCGTGATGAGGACGGGTAAGCCAAATAAACCCATTCCTGCCCCCACACTGCTGTCGGCCACAGTGTTTATCAGAGCAGCAGGAACCAAACCAGGACACCAGGTTGACTGCTTTTATCAACCCCTGGGCTTCCAACCAGTGGGGGCCTAGGAATGAGCGGGAGCTGGACTCAGACCCAAATTCTGCGTGCAGGTGGTGGAGCTTGGCGTGAATTCCTCCTCGTGAACTACTCCATCTGGAACCAACCTCTTGGGGTTTTTTTGTTTGTTTTTCTTTCAGGTTGAAAATAATCAGGCTGCAAAATTCTTGCATTAGCCTGAAGGAATGGAGTGGCTTTAACATATCAAGCATCCAATGTAAGCTATCTAAACACAGAAGAAAGATTTTTCCAAACCTCACACCAGAGGGCACTATAGACCACCAGTGTTCTTCGAAGCCAGAACTACTGAGAAACAAGACTTGGAAACTCGGTGTAGCAAAAGAGGAAATTAAGGCCCAGAGAGATTAAGGGACTTGTCTGAAGGTGGCCAGTTTACATCGGGATCTGCTGTGGGCCTCCCTAGGTCAGTTCTGTTTGGGCCAAGAGTGGGCAAATAGCCTCTGTCCTCCTGGATTTTCTTCAAGCCCAGCTTCACGCTGCTTTTGCTTGGTGATTCCCAGGGGGCACTGAGAGACTCATCTGGGTTTGTGACCAGGAGCCAGCAGATTTATCCTCCATACCTTGAAGGCCAAGCAAGCCCCACCCACCCCCCAGCGTCTGTCTGTCTTAGCTACTTTTCTTATATCTGTGATCAAAATCCCTGACAACTTGAGGAGAAAAGGTTCATTTTGGGTTCAAAGGAATTTCTGCCCATCGTGGCAGGGAGGACACAATGGAGGAAAGGCTTGGCTTGAATCCGGGTGGCATGTGACAGTAACCAAGGGCAGCCAATCCTCCCCCCCACCATGGTCCCCATCCCCAGGAGCTCCTTCTTCATAGGTGTCACCAGCATTTGAGTGCCCTGAGATTCTGGTAAGAGATACCTTGCCTAACACCCAGAGTGGTCAGCAACTCATCCCAGAAGAGTGATGACACCAGGCGATCCCCGGCCTCCCCACCTAAAAGTGAAACTGATCAGGAGGGAATACCTACTAAGAATCCCTCCTCGGCCATGATCTGCACCTGCCCGGGCTCAGTGTCCGCCATTACAAAAGGAATTGGACAAACAGTCCCACATCTCCTCCTCTGGCTCTCTGGCAGACATCACTCAGTGTTTCCCAGTGCTCTGGCCTCTAGGTCAACATGGTCTGGAAGCTTCAGTTCTCATGCGGTAAGCTCTGTCACCGTGATAATGTGATGGCCTTCCTCGTGTGGCAACAAACCTAACCAGGTTCCTACCACAGAGCAAAGAAGCCTGGGAAATGTGGGAGCTTCAGAGGGTCCCAGGCCACCTAAGATGCCCTATGCAGTCTAGTTCTAGGGCCCCTCTGTCCTTGTCACCAACCTCTGTGCTCACACAATCATCTCCACCATCACTCATTAGTGTGACACTGTCACCCTTCCTTATAACCCCCTTCCCTGGCTGTCCTACTCTCCCAGGACCCTTACCTGCTTTTCCCAGCGCCTATTTGGAGAGTAGGGAACACTGGGGATTGAACCCAAGGCCGTATTCACGCCATGCAAGTGCTTCTTCACCGAGCCACACCCCTGAACCCCAATGGCTATTTAAACTGCTGCTTCAGGAAATGGTTGTCACAGACATCACCCCGGCAGTAAGATGCTCCATCCTCAGTTTCCCACACTGGCTCGCCGCTTGCTTGCTTGTGTTTGCTTCTGTTCTCACCTGTGAGCTCACATGTCTTCACCCTCTCCAAGGGAATCCTTCCGCATCCACTGGGATCTCTGCCCCTCCCGCCCTTCTCCTCAAGCACTTCAGTCTGAAATCAAGGCAAATCAAAAAGCAAACCAAGCTCAAACTCACACATCTCCAGCTAGCCAAGAGCCACCGTGCTGTTTCACTCCTGTCAGGTACGGTCCCCAGTGGCTTTACAAGTGTTTTCCCAGTTAGCACGCACGCTGGGTTTCAGCCTCCCGCTTCTGCGGGTGTTTGGGACTTGAATCCGGGACTCTGCACACACTCCAGCCCCCAGTAATATCTACAAGGGTTCTTCCTCTGGCTAGTGCTAGTTTATTGCTTGTTTTTATTTTATTTATTTATTTATTTATTTTTATTTTGCAATACAATTCAGTTCTACATATCAGCCATGGATTCTCTTGTTCTCCTCCCTCCCGCCCCCCCTCACCTTCCCCCTAGCCCACCCCCCATTCACACCTCCTCCAGGGCAAAGCCTCCCCTGAGGACTGAGATCAACCCGGTAGACTCAGTCCAGGCAGGTCCAGTCCCCTCCTCCCAGGCTGAGCCAAGCGATCCTGCATAGGCCCCAGGTTTCAAACAGCCAACTCATACAATGAGCACAGGACCCGGTCCCACTGCCTGGATGCCTCCCAAACAGATCAAGCCAATCAATTGTGTCACCCATTCAGAGGGCCTGATCCAGTTGGTGACCCCTCAGCCATTGGTTCATAGTTCATGTGTTTCCATTTGTTTGGCTATTTGTCCCTGTGCTTTATCCAACCTTGGTCTCAACAATTCTCGCTCATATAAACCCTCCCCATTCTCGCTAATTGGACTCCCAGAGATCCACCCAGGGCCTAGCCATGGATCTCTGCATCCAGATCCCTCAGTAGTTGGATGAGGTTTCTAGCATGAATTGTTTTTATTTTTTTTGTTGTTGTTGTTTGTTTTTGTATTTTCTTCTTCTACAATGTGGCTGCTGTGGTGGCTACAGCTGGCTGATTGCCCATTTTACCATTTTTTCCCTAAGAAAAAATTCTATAGGTCTTTGAGGAGTGGGGAGATGTGCATCTGAATCTTCCAAAGACAGATCACAGTGAAGGCTTCTCTTTGCTGGATATTTGGGGATCAAGAGTGGTCCAAACTGTTCTAACTAAGCAAAGGAGTTTCCTCAACTGTTTCGAAGCTCATGCAGGAGCATTCTGTTTTCCATGGCCATGGCCACAGCTACAGCCACCAGGCATTTGGCCACCATGGATATGTGTCACAGTAAATCTAAGAAGTAGGAAAGTCTCATGCCCACCAGGGGATCCTGGAGGACTTACAGTGTTGGAGTCCCATCAGTAGGGTTGCCTAACTGTGGGTTAAGATTCCCAAAGCATCTCTGTGTCAACCGATAGAAGCCCATCTGCTCCCAAGAAGTCCTGTGTGGTTTCCACCCATTTGAACCTCAGGTCAATGGCCAGCATTGCTCTGGAGCATCATGGAAATCTTCAGGAAGGGTGCTTTTCACCTTCTTCCATGTTTTCTCTTCCATCTGTCTAGGAGATTCTCATGTAG